TCAAACAATCAACTTCTGATGTGCAGGGAAGCTCAAGCTCTGATCAAAATGTGATTGGTCCCAGCTGGACTAACCGAACTGTGGTCAGTGTATAGGTAGCTTTAGGACCAGGGGCGGACTGACCATTTGGAAACTCGGGCACTGCCGAGGGCCCGGGGTCAGTAGGGGGCCCCATGAGATGTCCCTGGTACCTTTTTCATAGGTTTTTGAATTTGGGCAAGGAAACAGGGGCCCCATGAACCCCTATTGCCCGGGGGCCCCATGAGTTGTCAGTCCGCCCCTGTTTAGGACTCATTTAAAGTGATTTTTTTTTTTCATGTTCCTGCATGTCCATTTTAAGATAGTCAATTAATTTCAATGGGCTGCACTATGTGCGTTAAATGTACAAAAAAGGTTCAGGCACTATTGTTCCAGTTGTGCTGTACCAAAATGCATGGTAGATGTGGGGAAGACATCTGGTTATAATGAAAAACGTCCGTTTTTAACGCTGTTTTAATGTTTTTAAGCTTGTAAGTGTATTTTCGTTCTTCTAAATAAATTAGCCTTAACTTACTGCACCTCTTTATATTCATATGAGTATATGTTGACCCCATAACATTTGGACGGCCTGAGGAGCCTCGGGTGGTGCACATGATCCGATCTGAGACATGAGCCTGGGCAGGATTATTTATATTGGGCATGTGTTGACCCCCTATAATTAAGGGGTCAAAGGATCTGGTAAGCCTCAAATTTGATATCACAGTGGTGCAATTTCACGTTGGTGGTTACATTGGAATGAAGATTTTTCATCATTCATCACAGAAAAAAGGGGACTGTTTTATACACTTTATAAGGACTGTTTTATTTATGTTTATTTCATGTATTTGTTTTGTGGCAATGGTTCACTTTTGAGCACTTTCTTGTTTATCCTTTATTGGACATATATTATTTATGAATTTTTGAGGTATTTATATTTTACTTAGCACAACAAAAGTTTTTTTTATTTTAGATGTGTGGGGATGCCATTAAGAATAAAGACATCCATGCATGTCTGTAGAAGGAAGTTTTATGCCGTGCAGGGTTCATACAATTTCACATGTGTTCTCCCCCCACACCTGATGTGAACAAACCCTTAAAACAAGTTCCAGTTTTTGATGACCTTCAGGCTTAATGCACCAATAACTGATAAGGTGCTAAAGGCCATTTCACACACAAACATCAAGAGCATGTATAGAACACCTGAGTACGTGGTTAGATAGGCAGTTTTAGATTTGTGGTCTGTGAAATACTGCACTAAAATATCCAAGTATATAAATTAGGAACAAAACTGCATTTTTTCTACGTCTTCACATGAAAGGGAAAATAAATGGTCCTATTACTGATTAAATAAAATGTTCCTTTCACTTTCAAGACTATTAAAATTATTTCAGAGAAGCTCTCAAAGTACTTTGAATTCTGAGGGACTGATGTAGTAAATTTCAATCTAGTCTGGTTTTACTTAAAAAAATTCAGGCAGGCACAGCGGAAAACAGATCAATAAATAAGCAAATAAATAAATACACTGAAATATGTTCTGAATATGATTGGATAATTGAAGTGAATCCAGTTCCTAAATGTCTGAGTTAGCAGAAAAATTAGAGAGAAAGAGAGTCAGAGAGAAAACAAGAGAGCGAGAGAAAGCATGAGAGAGATAGAGATAAGGAGAAATAGAGAGAGAGAGAAAGAGAGGGAGGGAGGGAAAGACAGGTGCTTTTAAAATAATGTACATTTAAAAAAAACACATTTTCTTATTTTCTCGATTTTCAGTGTAGACTGCTTTTGGCTGAATAACCCTGTTGTTGAGGTTGAAGACCCAAACAGGATTTCAATTACAGTAATGTTTCATGTTAGTGCATGAGCTGCATTGCAAAGTATAATATGTTCAAAACATCAAAATACAATTCTGGTTGTAAACTGTTAGTCCACATTTCATACTGTCTTTTGATGAAATATGGACATTAAACTGTTCTAATCACTTTAATTCACAGCCCCCCTTCCCCATCAGAAGCCAGAGAATGTTTTCACAAATATGTCATCAAACTCAAAGTGATCTTTCGGTTTTTGGTGGACGCTGAAGAGTTAAACCACTTGACATTTTCTCAGGGATCATTCACATCATAATGCAATGCATATGTCTTTGTATCTGGAGGCAAGCTGTACTAGGAAGTCATTTAGAATGAATTGAATAGGCTGTAACACATCTGAATGTACAAAACTTAGATGCAGTCCACATGTTTTGGCTGTGCATTGCACGGGACAAAATATTTGTGCTCCATTGTGGTAAGTTGGGGAGTGTTGGGGTGCCATTCACAATGAACAACACCACAGTGCACAAATGCAAGTAATGTTGCAGTTATGTTTACCACACGTTGCATCAATACAAGTGGTTTGAATTAGCACTTATATTTCTATAGCATTTGGTTAGTGAGATATCTGTGCTAGATCTTCTGGGTGTACACACCTATTAGCTGTTATTAGTTTTTTTTTTAAATTTACATTAATACAAATTCAAAATATGGAATTGGAAAGTAAACATGAGCATCTAAACTCAGAAAGATAAAACCAGATATAATGGTAAGGAGCTCTAATTGATGTATTATCATACAGTATAAGATATCAGGGACTGACTCAGTAAATCAAACACCAAAAAGTATGTCACATCTGAGTGGAATGGTCCTTTTAAATAGTACATTATTTCTGTAGTCTATATATTATTTGAATGCCATTGTGTACAAATACATGTGCCATAAACAAATATGCCAATGTACTACACAATAATGTAGGTTAATAATATAAAATACAGACAAACTGTTGATTTCTATTATCTAAAAAAAGAAACACTAAATAAAAATAGTATTTTTCCTATGTCAGAAGTCCTGCTAGTTTCTCTTCATTGAATACAGCATACACAGCATACACAGATGTGGAAGGGCACCCACAGTCCTCTTGGTATGTTAAGCTAAAGATGATAGGAGAGATGTCTCATTAAAAATGTATAAACCCATATTGTCTGCTAGCACAGAACACACGGGCTCGTGCCTTTTACACTGTAGACAGCTAAAAAGATCAAAGTTGTCAGACAGATTTCCTAAAGGGCATACATGGAGAAAAAAAAGGGCTTGTCTTCACATTTCTACAACGTCACCGGTTTCCAACTACCTTAACCTTAAATAACCATATGCAAAAACAGTTAAGTATAGCTTAGTCTAAGATCTAACTAAGTTTAAGACTTCAATTACACGTAACTCAAAAAATATTTTTAAAACAGTTATAACTAGCAAGAATTGCATTAAATACTGTATATACCTAAAGAGTGGGACCTCACAGGCTTCATATTAACCCTACATGGAATTCCCACCACCAACACTACAGTCATAGATGTGTTCCTCCTTTTGAATCAGACCATTTTTTCATCTACCTGTTATTTTCTCATTTAATAATTTTTAACAATTGTATTGAATACTTATGTACTATATACAGGGGCAGACTGACAACTCATGGGGCCCCCGGGCAATAGGGGATCATGGGGCCCCTGTGTCCTGGCCCACACCCAAAAAAGTCTATGAAAAAGACAATGAAAGGTACCAGGGGCATCTCATGGGGCCCCCTACTGACCCCGGGCCCTCGGGCAGTGCCCGAGTGCTTAAATGGTCAGTACACCCCTGACTATATGCATGTAAATATAAAGATAGAACTTTGATTAGATTGAACACTTGCTTTATAATTTGGATGCTTTTGAGTATATTATAAAGTGGAACTTTAGTAAAAAATGTAAATCCTGCTAGGTCGCTTCCTGCTGGCCTCTTTTTCCAGGTGTAGCTATGGAAAATAATAAACATAAGTGTCTATACTGCTTCAAATCCAGTAATAGTGGGGTTGATTTACTAAAGCTGGAAAGTGCAAAATCTGGTGCAGCTGTGCATGGTAGCCAATCAGCTTCTAATTTCAGCTTGTTCAATTAAGCTTTGACAAAAAAACCTGGAAGATGATTGGTTTCTATGCACAGCTGCACCAGATTTTGCATTCTCCAGTTTTAGTAAATTAAATCAAGAGTCCCACCTTGCTCTCCACATGCTCACTTTTTCTCTATTTTTAGGAACTTTGCAGAATTTGTAGAGGCTGACGAGCTGACAGCCTAAAGATTTAATGCTGCTTAGGACTTCAGCAAAATGGATGACTCCTGCAAGAAGAAACAGGAACAATGCTAGAGGCAATTCATAGCACACACTAATTCTGTTAGCATAATTATTAATGTGGAATGTATGTTTTATGCTAAAACCAGTATTTTTTTCAAGTTGTTATGGAGACAATGTTCTGCTTTAAATTAGGAAGGAACAAAAATATGAAAATATATTTTTAGTAATTTTTTGCATGCTACTTTTCAGTAAATATTTTAAGTAAAAATACATCATAGCAAAATTTTAGGTACTATAACAGATACGTAAAGGCCAAAGATAATGTCCAGATTTCAGTTTAGAAGAGTTTTTTTGTTTCAGTGTTAGTTCATCATGCTTGTATGCTGGCATTTTGATTGGTAAATTGCTACTGTAGCAAAAAATAGTTTTACACAGATTTGTATAGGCAAAAAGTAGGTAGCTGCTACAATTTTCACAGGTTTGACATTACAAAGTTGGTGAATGACATTGTGCACCAATGCATGAGTGTTTAACCACTTCCATACAGGGCACTTATATCCCCTTCCTGCCCATTGCCAATTTTCAGCTTTCAGCGCTCTCACACTTTGAATGACAATTGCGCGGTCATACAACATTGTACCCAAACTAAAATTTTATCATTTTCTTCACACAACTAGAGCTTTCTTTTGGTGCTATTTAATCACCACTGGGGTTTTTATTTTTTGCTAAATTAAAAAAGACCGAACATTTTGAAAAACAAAAACAAGTTTTTTTTTTTTTGTTTCTGTTATAAAAGTTTGCAAATAAATAATTGTTCTTCATACATTTAGGCCAAGATGTATTCTGCTACATCTCATGGGTGAAAATAACCCAAATTAGTATTTATTATTTAATCTGTAGGAAAGTTATAGAGTTCACAAACTATGGGATATATCTGAAAATTGATCAGTCCTGAAGTACTGACAGCCAATCTAATTTCTTGAGGCCCAAGAATGTCAGAACAGTACAGATATCCCCCAAATGACCCCTTTTTGCAAAGTAGACAGTCCAACGTATTTCATAACAGGCATGGCGAGTTTTTTGAAGTTGTAATTTTTTTGTCATACTCTTTCGGAAAATGAAGAAATTAAAAAAAATGATTTTCACAATTTTTTTTTACATACTGTCACCAGTGCAGTACAGCATCAGACTATAACTGGCATGGTAGTGAATAGGGACACTGACTGGTGACAGTACAAAAAAAAAAAGATAATTTCCTTTAATGTTTTACTTTTTTTATTATTATTTTTAATTTTTTTATAACTTTTTTCTCTTTTTTTTAAGATTTTTTTTTCATATTTCACTATGACCAAAGTAGTATAATGTTACCATAGTAACATTGTACTACTTTGGGGAAGTGATCAGTATTTTTTTTATTATTATTATTTTTTTTTTTACACAGTTTGCTTATACCAAAGAATTACTTTGCTATAAGCAAGCATTTACCTGAATGAAATTGATTCATTCAGGGGTTTTTTTTTGTGTGCTTAGCTGTGATTTGGCCACGGCTAATCACATGATACAGCTGGGCTGTGATTAGCCCAGCTTGTGCATGTGATTGCTGTGACCATTCACAGTTAGACACACTTGTATACAATGGATGGCATGAAAGGAAGTCATCCATTGTATACAACTGTCATGTGACCTGCTCTGATTGGTCTTAGCAGGTCACATGGTACTGGCAACGGGGCCGGTGACAGATCGTGTCTCAGCGCTGCCCTGCGGACATGTGCAATGCTCGTTCCTGAAAGGACACCATATGGCATCCACCCAGAGGGACGAGCTGTTCGTGCGGCCGCCATCTGGCTATAGGCCGGGCAGCAACTGGTTAAACTTCATGCTAATGAGCAATGCAATGCAAATGTAATCCTAAGTATGTGTATATACAGTATGTACTGCTATACTAATGATCTTTTGTTCACTGTTGCTGTAGACAAAAGACAGAGTGGAAATGTGATAATGATGATGATGAAGGAGATGATAATAATTTTCCATCCAACCACTTTTGGATTTGTGCAGTCAAATGTCTGCTTTTGGCTGGAACATCCCTGTGGTTTTTGTTGGCTGTATAATTTGACCTAACAATGGACACAGCAGGAAGATCCTAATTGTAAATGAACACAGGTACTTGAGGCTGAATTTTAATTTCAGCTAGACTTTTAGGAGCTCAGCCTTGTACCTGAATTCATTGCTGAAATTGTCTAGGCTTCAAAATATATTTTATATGGGTGCATTTTAATCCATGCTGTTGACAACTATTGTCATAGAAGTGTGCACAAAATCTTGGGATTTGTGTGTTCTTTATGTTATAAAATAATATCTTGAAGCTAAACTATTTTAGCATGTCTCTGGAACAGCTAACTGTCTAGCACTGAAACCTACCCCAATTCCTGTTTGAGAAAATTCATCAGTGCTCGTACAATGAATTCTAGACTTGAAAACTCTTGCATTAAAATATTCCATGGGGACTGCAGCATGACACTATATTCGACTTTGAACCTTAAATCTCAACTATTTCCTCTTAACTCCATGTCAATGCAGTGTCGTGTATGAATAGTATTTTGATCGTGTGACAAAACCGAAGACCTCAAGAGATAAGTGTCAGCTATGTAAGCTGAAACAAATATGTGCAGATAATTGACATTGCTACAAAATGATGCAAAACAAATCAGTTTTATTTTGTCAAGGGAATAATTTTAAATCTGTATGTAGGTTCATGAAAGGATTGGAACTGATAACACAGACTCTGTAATTTAGCACAAGAATACTGGTTATGCATCCAAAGTCTGGCAACCGTTTAGCAAAAAAAAAAAAAAAAATGTGATCTATACTTTTAGATGAGAAAATGTGTGTAAATAATTATGTCATTTAGTGGAGATCATTAGCCCTAGAATATGTTAGCCATCTTATCACAGATCTGTTGGTGGTCTCAAATAATTTCTTCAGTGGACAGATGTCCTCTTTTAACTAACCATTTACTGAGCATTAAAACTGACCTACTATGTAACATTTTCTGGTCCATTAAATCTCAAGGAATAAAATGTAGTGACACAGATGTCAGAATTCTGCCATAGAAATAGTCTGGATTTAGCTATACCAGAAGCCTTACATTATAGTTTGAGAAGATAACATACTAATAGAGCAAATTAGCAAAAACATGAGCATATCTTTGCTGCTTTTTCAGAGCTCAGAATGTTTCTTTTTAGTATTTACAAGGAAATGTTGTCTTAAATGTTATTTTGCTTTTGTTTAAAAAGTCATGTTTGCTGGAAAGTCATGTTTACAAAAAAACAACAAAAAAAAAATATTTGTTTCAATAAAAAAGATCAAATTGAAAGTATATCATAGAATCCTGTTGTGCTTTTATAATTGATTTACTTTTTTTGTCTGCTTGTTCATGTATATAATTTTTTGTCCATTTGGACAACACTATCTTTTGGAATTAATTTATTTTCCTCAGCAATATGTTGCTGTGTTTTTTAGTTATCTTAGAAAACAACTATACAGTCCTTACAAGAGAAGTGTGGACTTTTCGCCCCCCCCCCCCAATTATACTTACCTAGGTGGATGCAGATCAGTCCGATACTGCATCTATCCCCTGTCAGCTCTATGTGTGAGAACTAAGGGGTCACGTGACCACTGATCAGTGAGTTCTCAAGGTCACTCTGAGCATACAGCAGTGACTGTCAGTGACTATTCTCTGCTCTGCGCCCCCCAGCACAAACTGGAGAGCTGGGCTGTGGTGTCAAGGTCCTACCTTTTCCCTGAGGTTATGTTACTCCATGTGCTGGCGTCCATCTTGGATTTCTGCTGTGCATGGTGGGAATCCTTTTATGCCTTCAGGTCTCTGAGGTCCATCCCCCAGAGGGGTGTGGCTGATGACATATAAGCCTGTGGTCCGCACATGCTCTTTGCACTTGTGTCTTGTGTCTTTGTGTTGCTTTACTCTGTTCTGACTCTCGTGACTCTCCTGGTATCTGATTCGGCTTGTGACTCGACTATTCTTTGTATTCTCCTTTGATCTGACCCTCTGTTGCTGAACCCGGCTCGTGACCTGTGATTCTCGTCTGCTGTCCTGTACTGTTTTGTCCTGTTGTTGTTGACCCGGCCTGTCTGACTACTCTTTTGTCTCTTCCACCAGCTACACGCCATTGGCAGCGGCCATTACCGCAGCTGAGGTGTCTCGGGGGGCCGCGACCTGGTTCCTGACTGGGTCCCCACCATCAGGGGCCCTGGTGAAGGGCAGCCTGGGACTTAGTCTCCGCGCCCTGAGGGACTTCGGTCTGTGGGTGGTGGTTGTTGTCAACCAGTGCGTTACATTGTTAGGCCTGCCTGTCCGTTCCTCGGCCCCTGCCCTGACATGTGGACATGGAGGAGTGGCTGGCTCAAGCTCTCAGTGGCTCACTGAGAGGTGTTGACCAAATCTATAGATTATGAAATATAATATTTCTCTGCTATGATTTGGTAAATTAAGAGTTCTTACCCAGAAGTGAAAGGTTTAACACAACATCCAAACTTTATTGGTGAATAGGATGGAGGTCTAGACTAACACAAAAACAATCTATCTAGTTACATAAAAGAAATATTTTTAAGAAAGCTTGAACATATTATAAAATACAAACGGTGAGACAGAAAAGACATAAGACAAACATTTAGATATAAGTGCTAAGGATATAGCACATAATTACCATGGAACTGGACGTATAGCTTCCATTCTCTTCCAAAGAGAACCTCTCTATCTAGTGTCTATAGTTATAAGCCTCTCCTCCATTAATTTTCATGGAGTATCTCTGATTGGTTGGCCAATCTATTCCCTTTCATAATTGGCTAATTTCAAATCCCTGTATTTAGCATACACCAACTCCCTTTAAGGCAAATCTTGGCACACTCTTTATAGAATTTAATCATGCGAGTTCATGACCTTTTCCTGGGAAACTAAGTATTCATGAAAGGCTGGCCACCTTCATTGCATATCTAAATGAGAGATCCTTTGAAGTGCATATTTGTGAAGTCAACAGGTTTGTCCCATTGTTAGATAAACTAACTCTGGCACCCAATTGTCTGAAAGAGGATTCTCAGCAAAGACTTCTGTTATACAGTAAAGAAGGTGTAATTAATAGAATTTTCCCTTTGGCAACTATGGTATCTATAGAACAGGAATTTTTGGGAAGACATATTGCATACCCAAACTGATACAGCTCTAACTGAAATATATTCATAATTACAATATAATTTACAGTGTTTAATGGAGATTTCACATAAACTCATTAACTAACAGGTTGATCCTGGTGCTGCTCCAGACTCCTGACTTTGAAGCTACGTAAAGGAAGCTAAAAAATAACAGGCTTACTGGATGACTCACCAGGTGAAAAAAAGGGAAAAATGCTTAACAAAAATTAAACTAATGCAGCCACCACATTTAAGGTGGCTGTAAATGTGAGACATTAAATGTGTTTTCTACAAATGTAATTATATAGTGTGTACTTGTCTCTACCCTGAGCTTTGAATATGATTTATTTCTGCTGCTTCATTCCTGTTTTAGCTTTTTAGCTTTTGCTCAACACCGAGAGACAAATGGTGGTTGGGAGGAGAGTTCCAGCACACAGCCTGTGATTGACAGCCACAGCTGTGCTTGTTTTCCATATTGTGTGAAGATTGGGGTGTGTCCCTTTCCTCCAATCAGGCCTCAGAGTTATTTTTTCAGTGTGTGAATTCAGATCCCTGCCCCTTGCTTTGCACTTCTGAGAGATGCTGTGTAAATTTTGTGTGTTGTAAAATACTGCATAGGACAGCTAGTAGCAGATAATCAGGTACAATTTATGTAGACTATATATTTAATCTCTGTGTACCACCTCAGGCTAGTCACTTCACTGGTTATATGTAAGGTTTTCAACCACCTTAATGATTGGTAAACTGCAATATATTGCACACTATAGTGTTGTCCTTGTTCTTCCTGCAAATATTATATTTGCCAACATAATTTACATAGTTACATAGTTAGTCTCGTTTAAAAAAAAAAAGACACAAGTCCATCCAGCTAGGAAAAATACAACATCATGGCCACTAGATGAGACTGATGATCCTAGGAAATCAGCATAATAAGCAAAATACAGTCAGAATTCATGAGGGCTA